ACCCTTTATTTTGGCACATTTATAGACCACAAAATATGATTGTGAGCTGCCACTGCTCGCAGGGGAGATTTAATGGTGTTACAGAGTAAATGCCAGGGCTCTGTGGAATAAGGAAATCTATTTTCAGCTGGGATTCTCAGCCAGAAGTGTCTTCCCACTAAGAAGTGTGTGTAATTTCAGAAATGTCGAAGCAGAGAGGTAAAGCATGTCAACACCCTCTAGCCAAAGACCACCAGCAGCACATCTGTAGTGGACAAGCTGGATTTATTACATGTTGCATGGAGGGAGAATGCACAGCAGAGGGAAGCACAGGCATTTCAGTAAAAGAGTGTGAGAAAGAACCTATGAACAGGACTTGGGCTTCAGTTGGGTAATTTGGGGGAAGGTCTAGAGAAGCTGCACTTTGTTCTAGATTGGATGCTCTCAGAAAACAGGCATGATTCAATGACTGACCATCTCAGTAGTCCTCACCGATAAGTAGGATAGACTAGAGCAAGAATAAAGCTGTAATTGGGAAAGAATCAGCACTCACTCATAAATGACTATCTTGCAAAGAACAGGAAAAGATCACACTAGACAGGAACAGATTAATCATTCTTGGCCACACTGGGTAAGAATCATTGTCGATTCCTTTGTGCAGAAGACTCTTGATGCTGATTTCAGAAACCCAGAGAATAATATTTTAGTTACCGTGCATATTAATGTCTAGGTCACATTCTAGACATTGGCTCTGAATGTGTCACTTGAGGCATCTTTATATCCTCTTGGACACCTATATTAAGGCACCTTTCCTGTGACCATTTTATACAGTTACCTGGGATAGGTAGACTCTATCTCACTATTTCAGTCGAGTATCCAATTCCACAGGGGTAAAAACAGTTAAGTTGGATTGCCTGCTTTTCAAACTATCTGCGGTGAGGAAACTTTTCTTTTCTCCCAATTGATCTTGGACTATTTTGTAAAATACAACAGGATTTCATTACTAGAGGGGTGCCTGGGTGGCTCAGTTGGTTAAGCCAACTCTTGTCCAACTCTTGGTTTCAACTAAAGTCATGATCTCAGGGTCCTGAAATCAAGCCCCACATCTGGCTCCACACTCAGCACGGAGTCAGCTTGTCCCCCTCAGTGTGCACCCTCCCCTAGCTCATGCTCTCTCTCTCTCTCTCCCTCTGTCTTTCTCTGCCTCTCTCTCAAATAAAGTCTTTAAAAAATAATAATAAATAAAAATTTTTCAAAAGAAATTAATTACTAGAAAAATAAAATGAGGGACACCAGGGTGACTCCATCAGCTAAGGGTTCAACTCTTGATTTTGGCTCAGATCATGATCTCAGGGTCTTGGGATGGAGCCCTGTGTCTGGCTCCATGCTCAATGGCGAGTCTGCTTGAGGATTTCTCTCTCTCCCTCTCCCTCTTCCCCTCCCTCCACCCACAAATACACTCTCTTTCTCTAAAATAAATAAATAAATATTTGAATTAATTGTAAAAATGATAAAACTGGAGTGTCTGGGTGATTCAGTTGGTTGAGCATCTGCCTTTGGCTCAAGTCATGATTCTGGGATCTTGGGATTGAGCCCCACATCAGGCTCCCTGCTCAGTGGAGGCTTCTTCCTCTCCCTCTGCCACTCCCCCTGCTTGCACTCTCTCACACACTCTCCCTCTCTAATAAAACAAATTCTTTTTTTAAAAAAATCATAAAACAAAACACCAACCCCATTTTTTAAATTATTTAACCCAGAGCAAATACAGTAATTGTCAAATTGGTATAAAAGTTTCTATATAGGGATCCCTGGGTGGCGCAGCGGTTTGGCACCTGCCTTTGGCCCAGGGCGCGATCCTGGAGACCCGGGATCGAATCCCACGTCGGGCTCCCGGTGCATGGAGCCTGCTTCTCCCTCTGCCTGTGTCTCTGCCTCTCTCTCTCTCTCTCTCTGTGTGACTATCATAAATAAATTAAAAAATTAAAAAAAAAAGTTTCTATATAATAGTCTCACTTTGGGTATTTATCTTTTCACAAGCCTGGGCCTGTGGACACACTTTGAAGTACCACTTGTTTTTAAATGTAATTAAAGCGTTCTATTTACTACAAATTAATTCTGAGAGTGCTTCCCATTTCAAATTCACATGGCATACCACAAGGTCACATAAAAGAGATGTAAGCAGTTTCGCCCAGGGAGAAGGCCTTGCTATAAACCACTCCCCACCACGGTGAAACGTAATAAGTCCCTGTGGCTGTTTCTTATGTGCAATAGCTTCAAAGAACACATGGAGAAAGTCAAATCACTGGAAAACCATCCAAAACTGCAAAACTGATGTAACCAAAGGGTTAGACTTCCCATCCAGGTACAGCTTCAATGACATTGTCTTCCATAGCAGGAAATTTAACTATATACTTGCTAGGCAGATATTTTTCCATTGGTATCTTTAGGCCAAAAGAGGCTGTACTTTCTACTAGACCTACTTGGATTTGATTATTATCCCAGAGCCCTTCAAGAGCGATGGCTTGAGAGCCCATCAGGGTAATCCTCGGGCATCTATGTTATCTCAGTGTCCCTGCTTCCATTTCTAAGATCGAGAAGGTCAAGCCTAAATCCCTGTAGAGCTAGCCAGTTAAAGGGAAAAGGGAGCTTAGTAATCAGCAAATCAGCCAAGTTTATTTACATTTCCTTCAATTAAACTTCCCACTTCATCTGTTTAAGGATTTATCCCATTCAATGCAGTTCTGCAATTCTAAGAATTTGTTCCCAGCTTAGAAAGTAGTCCCAGTTTATTCCTCTAATTCGCTGATTTGCCCCCCATAACCCTGCTTGCTGCCACTCTTCCTGCCATCATCTTCACTCTTCCTCCTGGCACATGCCTGCTGTGAGCTTGAAACTCTAAAAAAGGCTTCATTTCGCGTACCCAGAGTCAGCACTGCCTTCTCTACAAGCCAAACCTACCATTTTCCCAGATGGAGCTGAAGGCCTCAGTCACTTATGTCTGGTTCAAAACTCTGTCCTATTCATATCTCCAAAACATATTTCCCTTAACTACCAATTTTCCAAGTTAAACATGATTCTAACATACATATACACAAGCCAGATATTTTGACACTTAAATCTATGGCAAATTTAACATCTTTGAGCTGCATGAGCGATTCCTTCCACCACTTCACAGTGCCTAGCATAGAACTTGGTCCATTACTAGTTCCTACAAATATCGTTTAATTAATTAATTAATGGATCAAAGCCTGGAACAAATGAAAACTTGTAGGGTGCAGTGGTAGTGTAGTATACATACATACTCGATATCAATTGACACATGATGCTAACACCATATCTTAAAAATGAGAAATTAAAGAATCCTAATATATAACATTCATTCAGACTTTATATCTATTTTCCTCTTCCTTATAACAACTTACTATAGCCCCAGAGTTCTTGTATCTATGATCAGATAATTTGACATGTACAGAAAGAAAAATACTGATTGCTAAGTAAGATGTAAAAATCACTGTGATGATGCATTAAAATAAGTTCCTCGCCTTTTATCTTCCTCAAACTGATTTTCTAGCCAATATCCCACATTTCAAATATTAATGGAAAAGATAGAAAGTACGTAATTTTTATGCTATAAAACTAAAAAATAATAGTGAATTAAGTTTTATACTCAATATATTTAAATGTATTATAAAACAATACCCTTTATTTGATTTATGTTCTTTTCTATCTTAGTAATACGGAATCAAGCTCTCTCAATGAATATTTTAAACTTTATCTTCCAGAAAGTACCTCCTTTTTTATTTCCTATTCAATGACTTAATTAATTCACATCTACCCAACCTTTGTATAGAATGAGAAGAATTTGAGCGATTCCTTATGCCTCCAAATCCCAGAATATGGTCTAGCACCAAATGCAAGTGTATAGATCCTAATCTAATGGAGTCCAACTTGAACACTCGGGACCTGCTACATGTGCTCTGTTCAGCTTTCTGTGCTGTCTTTTAAAACCCTACAGGACATCAAGAGGCAATACAAGACTGCAAAAATAAAGCCTAAAACAATTACCTCACCAGCATTCAGTAAAAGTAAAACATATGTATCATACCTCCTCTGGGTTGGGCCTATGAATAGAAGGAACAATAGCAAAAAATTCATGGTATTGTTGGAGGACCAGCTAAGGTAGAATAATTATAAGCAGGAACATAAGGAATATTTTGAGAACTCCCAGAAGAGTGACAAAACAAAGGGAATAGCTCTGAACTCCCAAGAAACAGCAGCCTGGCAACCATAGGAAGAAAAATGGTTGATTTTTTGAACAAAGACTTGGAGTCAACTGTGGATGGAAGAGGCATAAACACTGACACACTTTTCAAATAACATCTGAAGATACTAAGCAAATAAAAATACTTCACATCTGCAGAGTGGGTAAAGAAAGGTCAGTTACTATTGGCCTCAATAACAAAACTAAAGAGCAGTATATATGGGTATTTTAGTTGAGAATAAAGAAAAAACTAAATCAAAGCCATGACGCAGAGAGAACTACATCTCATGTTTGTAAAGTAATGCTATTTGAACAAATTCTGACAAAGGATCTGCTCATTTCCCACTTTAGCATTCTGTGGGGAAGCAAAGGAATGCATTAAAATACCTTCTTTACGAAGACATCCAAAGTTTCCACATAAGAAGTGAAATACTATCATTTTGGAGGAATCTACATTTCTTTAGAAAATTTTCAGAATGCTTTGAAAGAAATAAGGAAATAAAATTACCCAATGTAACACTCGTGAAAATATAAGCAAAAGTGCTACAATAGGTATCTTTTGCTTCTTGGAAAATGCTGTCCTCATGGCAAAATTAAGCCAAAGCACACATCTTTGAGAGTAAAATGCTTTCTCAAGCTCCTTCCTGAACTTAAAATATAATAGTACGGCTTCCTTTCCACCTCTACCTTCCAAACCACGCTGGAGCCATGCTACGCTCCCAAACACCTGCAAACACATACACACAAAAGGGAGTCTTACCAGACCATCACAGTTGCTAATGGCAACAGAGGTTCCTGGAATGTCCATGATGTCACCAACATAAGCACAGTTAGTCTGCAAAGGCTCTGTTTTCCAGATTCTTTCTGAAGCACTTCCTGCTTGATGATCATTAATGGGGTCAGTTGTATTCTCAGGCACTAGAGATGTCTCGTGCCATTCCACAACAGCCCCAGGAGCTACTAGCTGAGTGTTGGGCCTTAGTCGCAGATGAAAATCTCTTCCAAATGCTGTGATGTTAAAGAACAATTGCTCAGAGTTGGAAGACACGTCCCTCGGTGACCTCTTTTTGTGATTTGCAGAAAGAATATGGGAGAGATAGTGTCCTTCAAAATTTGTGCTGACTGGAGTCACCAGCTCATACTCACTCTGTCCCTTTATTGGTAAATCTGTGGGGTGAAAAATAGAATTGTAGAACCCTGTGTGACAAGAGAACACAGGAGGACATAACACAGGCACCTCACAAGACTGTACCTCAACTTGCATAATAAATATATTCCTGAACTATCTCATAAGCATGAAATTTTGAGAACTCAAGTCATTTCTCAACTATACTTAGGTAGCTATGGGTTCAATGAATCATTTTTTAAAAAACTGTATTACAATGTGAATATTCGTATCTCATTTATATGTTTGAGAACATGAATATAGTAAGTTTCCATAAATGATATCTGGCTTACTTATAATCAAGACATGCTCCCAATTAATTTATTATTGGCATAACTGACACCTGCTACAAGTTTTTAACAAAACTTTTGCTATTATGTAGAAGAAATTTTTTTTATTTTATTTTTTACCTGTAAAAATCCTAGAGTTTCTGCCAATTACAATAGCTACTTTATGTTGGATTTACCATGGCCTATTATTTAATACACTTAGTTCATAGTACTGTAGTTTATACACAATTTTTCTATCATAACAAACCTAACAATCACACTTCAAGCGTGAGCAAACTGAAATTCAGGAAGTATGTGCCCAAGTTCAAGTAACTGTAAAGCTCAGGTATGAGTCCAAGTCATACTCCAAAGCCCATACATACATTCTGCTACATTGAATTCCACCTCATAAATCACAGATCATTATCAGAAAATGAGGAGAATGGGCAAGTAGAAATCATAATTTATAAATTAAATATGCAGATGCTGGTCACTCAAGAGCAAATGACATTGCCATTTTGAACTAAATTCCTTTCATGGGACAGATACTCATTTTAATATGAATGTATTTGGAGGTCACCTTACATCATGGGTGGCTAACTACATATTAAACTCAATTTCACAATTAATTCTCCTAGTTTAGCCAAATGTATTATGTCTGCCAACATGCAAACACCCTTGGGAAAGATAACACATTGAATAAACCATTTATCCCTTACTAGAAATGATTTTGAAGCAAGAATACAGATCCTGGAAAAGGAAATGAGGACAAGGATGAGAAAAGAAGACAAGCAAAATCTGGTAACAGAATTTAAAAGTCCCCCACCTTCATGATTCTAGCCTAAGACTAGTCCTGCAGTATGTTAAAGAACCCTGAAAAAAAAATTCTATGATCCACGAATACTTCTCACCTAGCACAATCACATGTATGTGATCCAATAAATGAAAGCATAAGACTCATAAATGAGCCTACAATCTATGATCTTAAAGTAGCCTTATGGAATATTTTCATTATTTTCCTGCTTTTTAAATCCTTCAAATAGTGTATAAAGTACCAGAAGGCATCTTATAATGCCTTGAAAATTCTTTGAGTGCATGTTGGTTATCACTAAGCCATTCAGAATGGCCAATATATTTAAACAAAATACCCTTCTTTATTAAATACACAGAATAATCCGGCCATAAATATTTACTAGGAGGAGGAGTGAGGATTGTACTATCACAGAGTAAAGTGAAGCCCACCTCCAACACTCAGAGGAACAGCAGCACAGTCCCTGCCTGTGGGTCTCTGCACCCTAGTCAAGGACCTACACTAGGCATCAGCATAAGCATGGACACAAAGATGTGGTCTCTCTTACAGCCAAATCCATGGGGAATACTTCTGTAAATTCTGGTTTATAGAAAGAACTGGAAACTTTAGGAATGAATTTGAGTGTTGCAGGAGCAGAGAGATGGAGAGGAAGGATTCCACAGTAAGGGATGAGTCAGGCTCTTCATGTGGAGTGTCAAAGGCTATCCCAAATTGAGTATGAATTCCTTAAGGACAAGAAACTCCCCCATTCAGCTTGGTATCTCCAGTATCATCTAACACAAGATTTTATATATGCCAGGGTCTCTTGTCAGTAGGATTTGCTTAACATGTATTAAGTCAGCAATGCAGGTAACTAGAGAACTTCTGCATTGTCTATGCTGCTACACACTAACTTACAGGATGCACTACCTGAGGTCCAAGGACCTTCTGGCTGCACTAGTAATCCCACTTGTAACTCTATTTAACCATTCGTTTACTGTTTCAAGGGAAGGAGATTTCCCATCTCCACTGAAGGAGACTCACATCACCAAAATCTAGACAATATACTAATGCCTGGATTAAGCAACTAGAGAACTAGAAAATTAAGGAAGAATGCAAGGAGGCTCCTTCCTCCACACCCAAAAGGACACCCAAAGCCTCATGCTCACAGCAAACCATGCATCCTGGATTCTCTGGGACTGTTCCATTTTTACACTGTCAGACAGTATGCTCTGCATTTTTATTCAAAATAAACATGGCAGGGATCCCTGGGTGGCTCAGCAGTTTAGCGCCTGCCTTTGGCCCAAGGCATGATCCTGGAGTCCCAGGATCGAGTCCCACATCAGGTTCCCTGCATGGAGCCTGCTTCTCCCTCTGCCTGTGTCTCTGCTTCTCTCTCTCTCTCTCTCTCTCTCTCATGAATAAATAAATAAAATCTTTAAAAAATAAATAAATAAACATGGCACATAGAGCTTTGTCTTCTCTGATGCTAAATAATAAATCATTCCTAAAATGTACACAAAAGACATACCGTTGAAATTAAACCCGGAATGAATAATTTTCCAGTCGGCAATTATTGCAATCAAGGGAAAAAAGATGCACTTAGTAGCCCCTCAGGCTACCATCCCCTTGGATAGTAGTTAGCAGAAATGACAAAGGAGCCACCAGATCACCTACCATTTCCAGGCAGGATAAATTCTGGGCACTGTGCTTTGGGTTCAAGAATATACCATCTCTGTGGAATATGAGAAATAGTGCAAGGGACCATAAGGGAAGTAGGAGACACTGAATGGGGAAAATCAGAGAGAAAGACAAGCCATGAAGGACTCTTAACTCTAGGAAACAAACTGAGGGTTACAGAAGGGGAGGAGGGTAAGGAAACAGTATAACTGGGTGACAGGCGCTAAGGAGGGCACGTGATGTGATGAGCACTGAGTGTTATACTACATGCTGGCAAACTGAATTTAAATTAAAAAAAAGAAGAATATACCATCTCTAATTCTCACAGCAATCACAGCAGGTGGGTATTATCCATAGTTTATTTTTTTTTAATTTTTATTTATTTATGATAGTCACACAGAGAGAGAGAGAGGCAGAGACACAGGCAGAGGGAGAAGCAGGCTCCATGCACCAGGAGCCCGATGTGGGATTCGATCCCGGGTCTCCAGGATCGGGCCCTGGGCCAAAGGCAGGCGCCAAACCACTGTGCCACCCAGGGATCCCCTTATCCATAGTTTATAAATGAAAAAGCAGGATTAGGGACACCTGGGTGGCTCAGTGGTTGAGCGTCTGCCTTTGGCTCAGGTCGTGGTCCTGGGTCCTGGGGTCGAGTCCCACATCAGGCTCCCTGTGGGGAGCCTGCTTCTTCCTCAGCCTATGTCTCTGCCTCTCTCTGTGTCTCTCATGAATTAATAAAAATAAAATCTTTAAAAAAAAAAGAAAGAAAGAAATGAAAAAGCAGGCCTAGAAGCCTGACACAGAGCAAGCAAGAAGCCAAAGGAAAATTTCAATTTTGATCATTTTGACACTGAAGACCATGCTCCTATGCTCTTATTCACTTTGGAATAGATGAAACATCTTGCTGTCAATTTCTAATTTAAGACCTGACTTATAAAGGAAACTACCACAAGACTGACGTTTGGTCCACCGCAGCCAGCCAACCAGTTATTCCTCCAGTGTAGTTTCAAAACCTTCTCTAAAAGGCTCTTAAGTTCTCTGTCTTTGAGGGAAAAAAGGGGGGGGGGGGTGCAAGGGGATGGTAGGGAAGGCTCAAAGCTATCAAAAGTATTTTCATCTAAGATTACAATCATATAAGCAAATTAAATTCTATCCAGTGTTAACGCACTATATTCAGATATCACACACCCCACAGGGCCAAATATTTGCCCAAAGTAGGAGGGCCTAGGGATGAGGAAGGAACTACCTACAGAATCCAAGAGCAGTAAGCTAAGTCAGGGCATCCCCCTGAACAAGTTCTTTGGTTTCTCTTAGGCTCAGCATCCTCAATTGTTCCCTGGAGGCTAGTAATACTTCCAACTTCATGGGTTCAGTGCAAGGTTTAAATGAGATTATGCAGAGGATGCAATAAATCCTACCTACTGAAAACTTAAAGGTAAGTTAGCTACTCATTAACACATTGCCCGTTGCAATTTTAAAATGGGAAACGGTGCAACTGTCAGCAGAGGTGGCTGAAGGGCCACAGCAGCTGGCATGTAAAGGTTTTTGTAGGCCATAAATTCTACAAGCGCAAATGGCTAGAGCCACGATAAAGCCACACTGCAGTGCCTAAGTCCCCAAGCAGGACTCAGATGTAGTTAACCTTCCACAACTGGCTGGTGTCTGTGCATGCATGCTGCATCCCTCCAGGGGCCTCGGACAAGCTGCCTCATCTCACCGAGAAGCAAACCCACCACATGAGCCCCATACCCTAGTCCCCCTCGCCTTTGCAAGGACACTTTCTGCAACTGGCCTCTCTTCTTTCCTTATCAGTTTCTCCACGTCATTAGATCATTCCCATCAGCAAATAAATGAGCTGCCATCCTGTCTCCCATCTTTAATAAAAACTCTCATGATGCCACATCCCACTCGAACTAAGACCCCATCGCTTCGCTACCCTTTATAGCAAAATGCTCCAAAAGACTGACTAGATGTGTCCTATTCCTCTCTTTCCATCCTCGTTCTTTCTTGAACCCGATCCATTCAAGCTCTTGAAGTCACTAGTGACCCCAGGTTGCTGAAACCAATGGTCAAGACTCTCTACTTGCTGTATCAGCAGATTCTGACACAGCTTATTTCCCTTTCCTTATTGCAATATGTTCTTTATTTAGCCTCCAGGATATCTTTTCCTTCTGGTTCTCCCCTTTCCTCGGTGCTCTCCCCTCCTCATTCTCCTTCCTTCCACCACTTGATTTCCATGACTTGTATATACTGCAGTGCCACAGGA